CTGAGGTAGATCGAGAAGATATCACTCTCGATAAGCTTCTGTGAGAGGAGTTGTTCTATTATCGGTACATATGGTGATTTTGGATCCTGTTTCGGTAACAATCCGAAACCAGCATGAGGGACTGGTACATTGGGACCATACGTGTATTCAGCAACCAGACCGAATGTAATAGTGGCACTGGCAGCTTGGCCGAAATAGGCCGTTGCAGATTCCTCGAAGATCCTTACTTCGGCTCCATGTCCGAAACGTAGTGTATAAAGTTTTCCCTCACTGCAAACTTCAGGGCTGCATTCATAACAACCGAAGATGATGTCCTTGCACTTCCCTGGATGACCCTTCTCGTACCAATGCTTCCAGAGGAAGAACGTCGTGGAAGAACTGGTGTCAATCATGCCATAGACATCTTGGCTACCGAGTGTTACTTTTCCAACTAGGACATACACATCGGCATCTTTCGTGACCTTCTCATATAATGCAGGAACCCTTATGAGAGATCCCACGATACTTGATAATAGGGAGAGAGGGAAAAGTAGATAATGGAATATGTCCATCGCAGGTTGGAAATAAGCTACAAGACATAAATTCAGGTTCACGGATAATACTATTAGTTCTAACTGTACTGTAGCGTAGGACTTGTACAAATTGCAATTGCAGCCCACATCTGTGCAATTCCTGAATGTGATGTGGACTCCACACGCGACCTGGCTTGTCGTTTCACGTGTGTGTATTGTGCTCCTGGAGCACCCGCACAATCCCTCTCTGGGTCTGACTAGGCCACTATTGTTTACGCCACTACGTTGCGCATGGTGTTCGCTCGGACAGTCCGAGTCGGACTACTTGAGTATTTGCCATGGACTTTCCCTAGCTCACCCTTGAGCTAGAGTTACTTTGGTATTTGTCTCGCGTGCCCTCCGGGACGGTCTACTTTCTTGTTCCCGTAAGGAACAGAGCAGATCCCGCCCGAATTCACTTATCTTGTTGTCTTTCTCAGACCAACAGTATTGGAGGAATCGGATCCGTTGCCGGCCATATTGGGAACGCAAGGGTAGCCGATGGATCAAACTCGAACTACCTCGAATATCACTAAGTCTAGACTAGAGAAATGAAATGATAAGACCAATAGTTTAGCTCACTTGACTACAACGACTGCCATGCACGCATGCTCACGTTCCTAACTGGAACAAAGTGATGCACAATGCGTGGCGCACAACTACTTCTCTACGAATAGACAGTCAGGGAAAATCAGGAGCCCTCATCATCGACTCCTACAACACAGGATCGGGGAATATTCAATATTGCGCTTTCTGATGCCAGGCAAGTTTCTTCTCGCTCAAGGCTTCCGGGAAGCCGCTTCCCCTACCGTGAAGGTACATGTGATCTGCGACCCTAAGTGTTCGGGCCTCAGATTTCCCATTTTGCTAGCCTCGCTGCATTGTGTCACGAGTACCGTGTACATCACTGTCTCGGAGACAATGTCTCTTCATGCTCTCTATGCACGTCTTTTTACATTCATAGATGGCATGGTTATCTGATATTATTATCAGCTATTTCTGTCGCAAATCAATTTTCTTTCGCTGAGTCATCTGGGAAAGATGACCACATCGTCAGGTTGCTGTGATTGGTGCGTGAAGGTGACGCACAAGGCTGTGTGCAAGGTGGCCTGCTCACGTGAATTGATCGATTTTTCCGTAGCTAAAACCAGGCCAACCGCTCAATAAGTATTCTTTCTTTCACATCACATCGGCTACAAGTGTCGAGTTGCACAACAATGTTAATCTACTATTTCTCTCACACACTTACCTTGAGATACCATAATCACCCCGGCGGGGTGGCCCAACAGCTTCCTGAGGAAGCCTTCCTCTTACACGCTCAACGACATCGATTAAACAGATTCTATCTCGGCTTGCACAGTGCAAATTGCAAAACTCCCCAGTGGAGAATCGGACTCTCTGCTGAGGACTCTCAATCCTCAATGTCCCAATTGTTGGGAATCTTCACTAAACGTGAACGCAACGAACTTAGAGGACATATCAAAGAGGAATACAACTTATTTATCTTACTTATATCAAATAGAATGACCTAGCAAAACTAAGCTAAAAAAGGCTTAGTAGGATACGGTCACACAGAGATGGTCTTGCTAACACAAATGGAGACAAATAGAGAGAAAAATGGGAGAATCTAGCTACTGAACCTAACAGTTCGCCCCCCAGAAGCGGCGAAGATTCGAACCATGCTCTCGAGTAGTTACACCATCAGGACTAACAATATTAACGGTCACACCGTCCTTTCCAACACTAGTAACGGTATAGACACGTTGATCTCCTTTAGCCATCGAGCCGACTCTGATGACTTTACTTCCAATAGACGGTACGGCTCTTGAAATAACCTGATCTGGACCATGATTTGGTTCACGATCTTCACGATTATGGAGAACTTCTTGAAGGATAAGTGCTCGTTGTGACTGTAAAGACTTAACCTCCTCGGTAGTAATCACTTCGTCATCAACATTCGGTAATGAAATATGACCATCATCATAGGAGAAGCGTCGTTCCTCTTCTTCATGATAATGATGACCAAATATAATAGAGTAAGGACTTTGGTCACTCCCATCTCGTAAAGGCTTCGTATTGAGACGTCGAACAATAGTGGACAAAGAGGATGACCAATCTCGATATTCCTTCTTACTAAGACCCTTCAGGTAATTCTTCACAGAAGGCATCACTCGTTCACAAAGACCATTACTCCAAGGTGAGTATCTACTTATATACATCACTCTTATACCATCAGCTTCCATAGCACGCTTGTACAAAAGAGACTTGTAACACGGGCCATTATCAGATCGAATCTGGGAGGGCACACCCCACCAATTCCAAATGATTCGCAGTGCGGCAATAACCTCCTTAGCGTCGGCACGTTTAAGGGGAGCCAATACCACGAAACGACTCATATGACATATCGTTACTAGCACATATTGAAATCCATGAGCGTCCTTACGCACAGGTCCAAGAATATCAGTAGATAAGATGGACCAAGGTTCACGTACGGAAGTATCAAGTCTTCTTGAAATAGTCTTCGAACGTCGACTAGCCGCAATATACTGGCACCGAACACAAGATCGACAAACACGTTGAATATCCTTACGCATACCAGCCCACCGAAAGCTTCGCGAGATACGCCATCTTGTATGACGAGAATCAGTATGACCACCTTTCAAGTGAAATCGTAATACAAGCTGCTCCAGTAAACTAGTGTCGTCGGTCGGAAGAACAATCACTCGAAAAGGTACGGCTAGGATATCTCCAAAGGGATATCGTAACTCCACCAAAAGGCCATCTTCAGATAGTTGATAAAAATGACCAGTACACCTTTTCCTTCCGAGGTAACGGTCCTGAGGATGGTGCTCATCAAGTACTTGTTTAAATAACGGGCGGAGAGATAACGATGACCGTTGGTAAGATTTGAGCCATTCCCTTGCCTTCATATTGCAGACCGATAGCATCTCCGAATAGTTCTCCATTTTGCCAGTACTGACCTTCCAAGCATGAAAAGCTCTCACAATAAGGAGGTTAATATAAAGCTCAGTATAGTCATTAACCGAATCATCGACTAAATCCTCATTAACAGCAAGCAGAGGAGAATCAGTCGGAGCAATCGAATTAGTCCGCAACGTCGTCGTAGGCACAAAACAACTTTCGTCCACCCATCCTTCATCAAAGGCATCACCATAGATCACAGATACCAGATCATATCGTTGTGCAAGCCTGGAGAGCATATCAGAAACCATATTATCGTGCCCTCGAATGAGCTCGACCTTGTAAGTAACCCCAATATCTCGCCAATGATGAGTAATTTCGCTGAATATACCAATGAGTCGAGCAACTGCGTGCTTCTCCAAAGTACGGCAGGAGCTCTTATTTGTCGCAACCCAACGAGCGGTGGTCTGAGAGTCCACATTAAACAAAATAGAACACTTCTTGCCGGATTTTAGCACCGAGTCTACAATATCCAGCATAAAGGTAGCACTGTCACAAAGGGCATATAGTTCTCGTCGATTTATATGCCAATGTAGCTCAGATCTCTTCCATAACCGCGCTCGTTGATAACCAAATTGAGGAGAGTTATTCTCAGTAATAGACCATCCGTAGCCAAACTGACTCGCATCAGAGGTAATATTAAACTGTAGTTCCTCACTATAAACAGGATCATGATGGCAACTTCCTTGAAGTAGATCGGCTATAAGATCACAACATGACGAGACAGCAGAATTCTCTGCATCGGTCAGGGAAATAGTACTGTCCCAATCAAGAGGAGAGCGACCTCCGATTATACGTAGTGCATCACCAAAGAATGCCAGGAGGGCATGGGAATAGAACATGTCCAATGTAAGACCTGCAATGGCAAACAATTTCCTCTTAGTTAAATTGTTGCTACTCGGATGTAGATTAGACAACTTTTGTAGATAGCCTTCACGATTACATACCAGCTTCAAGTAACTATCTTCAAAGAGCCACCACACGCCTAAATG